GAAGCGGGGAGGGTTTTAGTTGGATGTCCCAAGGAGGCATAGGTTTGAGTGTGAGGACAAAGTGTAGGGCACAGTATCGTTTGGTACGTGGTAAGCGCATCTGAATAGGGTAAGGATAAGGGGGAAGGGGGGGGTGTGAGGGCGGGGGCGCAGCATGTGCGCGATTCAGTTTGGAAGGATTTTTGCGTGCGGGGTGCTGTACCCAAGGGTATCGTAAACGAGATTTGTGCAAGGCTTTACTTGTGACATGTTTCAGAGATGTGTGGGGTTTTTCTCGAGTGTTGAGGAAAGAATGGGAGACAAGTAGATATCCTTGGCAGGCAAACTGTAGTGAGTACAAGTAGTCGAGTAAGGGTACCCAGGGTACAGTATCACAGGCGCACCGGGATGGTGAGGAATGCGAAAGACAGGTGTCCTCAAGTGCCAAAGTTGGGGATCAATGGGGTACTGTAATGGCAGTTATACATAGAGTGCAAGCAGTGGTGTGTAGTATAACTGACTGGTTTACTTTAGGGTTTGTGCTGTAGGACTTGTACTATAGGACGTGTACAAAAATCAGTTTGTTATTGGTTTGTTATTGCAGGTGTTGACATTCAACGTATATTTTAAAGAGCGTAGTGTACAGACGCAGGCTGAGGGGAATATGAAGTGATTTTTCATGTGGTTTTGTGAGATGCGTTTTGTGAAATCTGACTAACTGTAATGTTTTTTTGTTTGTCAGGCGCGGCGGAAAGCGTGCAGAGTCATTAATAGAGTCATTAATAACATTCTGCATTCTTTTGGCGGCGCACGGGAAGCTGAGGCGGTGAGTGTGGAAGCGTGATGTGATAAAGAAAAATGGAAGATTTGGTTGTGTGCGTGCAAAGATTGCAATTTGCAAAACTGTGCTTTCATGATGAAAGCACAGTTTTGCAAATTGCAATCATGAAAGCTTCATGTACCCGTACCGTAACCTCTGCACCTAAACCTCTGCACGGTAAGATACCAGGCATCAACAAGACTGCGTACAGAAAGGGACGGGCTACGCACTGCCCTAGATTGTAGCCGCAAGGAGCAAGAAGGTGGGAAGCAGTT